AATAACTTATATAGTTAATTAATCAAATAGTTATCACATCAATTAAATTATGTCCTAAAATTGGAGATTGTTCTATTGGTTGAAACAAAGTTGCAAGTGATCATAACTCAAATGGGTCTAAGAATTCACCTGCTGCAATATCCGTTAAGATTAATATTTTGATATTTATTTTTAATTAAATTAAGTATTGCAGCACATTAGAATGTGTCAGCTTATTGTTAGCTATTTTATTGTTTCAGTCAAAGTCAGTACCTAGATTTTAGGAAGGAATAAACTGCTCCACATATAATGGGCAGTTAGGCCAGATCGTGTGATATTATGTAAGCCTATTTATTGGCCTTTTCTTATTCAATTAAGTAAGTTTTCCAGCATTTGATTCTAACATCTGGTATCAAGAGCAGAAAATTTCACAAGAAATCAAGAGAGAAAGAGCAGATGGCGTCCGAAGGCGGCGATCGTTTTAATCTACCATCAATTCCTAAATTTGATGGTGATTATGATCACTGGAGCATGCTCATGGAGAACCTTCTCCGTTCGAAAGAGTATTGGATTGTTGTGACCACATGCCTCGTTCAACCCGCTGCAGGAGAAGTGCTGACGGCTGCACAGAGAAAGACGGCGGAAGAGATGTAGTTGAAGGACCTGAAAGCCAAGAATTACTTGTTTCAATCTCTTGACAAGTCAATTCTGAAGACAATCCCAAAGAAGGAAACATCGAAACAAATCTGGGATTCAATGAAGATGAAATACCAGGGCAATGTTCGAGTTCAGCGATCCCAACTCAATCGATTGCGCAGAGAGTTTGAGATCCTTGCCATGAAGCAAGGAGAATCAATCAATGATTACTTCGGTAGGGTAATGATGATTGCAAACGATATGAGGAATTACGGTGAAGATATGACTAATGTCAAGGTCGTCGAGAAGATTTTGAGAACCCTCACTGAAAAGTGGAACTATATTGTGTGTTCCATTGAGGAAGCCAATGATATGGACAAGCTTACTGTCGATGAGCTGCAAAGTTCCCTTCTTGTGCACGAGAAAAAATTCAAGAAGGAAGTAGATGAAGAGCAAGCACTCACGGTGGCATACGGTGAGAACAATGCTGGAAGAGGACGAGGCAGCCACAGAGCTTTCAGAGGAGGAAGGGGCAGAGGAGGCAGAGGTCGGCAACCCTATAGCAAGGCAACCATTAAATGTTATAAGTGCCATCAGTTGGGTCACTTTCAGTATGAGTGTCCAAATATGGCTAAGCAAGCAAATTACACTGAAATTGAAGAAATTGAGGAGATGTTGCTCATGGCTTATCATGAATCGTTTGGGCAAAGCAAAACTGATGTGTGGTTTCTAGATTCAGGATGCAGTAATCACATGTGCGGAGACCCGTCATTATTTAATCGGTTGGAAGATGGATTTCAAAGAACATGCGGCTAGGGAATCATATGCAGTTAAATGTGGTTGGTAAAGGTACTGTCAGGCTATACTTTGGAGGCAATAGCTATCTTGTTCAGGATGTCTTCTATGTTTCAGAACTAAGGAATAATCTTCTTAGCCTTGGACAGCTGCAAGAAAAAAGATTAACAGTGGTGATGAAGGATAATAAATGTTGCATTTATCACTCAACAAAGGGCCTCATCCTTCAGAGCAACATGACCTCCAACCGTATGTTCGTTGTGCTCTCTGATAAGTATTCTGACAAGGATACAAAAGAAGTTTGTCTGCAGTCCACAACCCAAGATTCGGTACAGCTTTGGCATCGGAGGTTTGGCCATCTCGGTCACACAGGATTGCGCATGTTGAAGGACAAAGAGATGGTGAAAGGGATGTCGTGTCTTCTCGGACCTGATTCCATTTGCACAGATTGTCTGAGAGGAAAACAACATAGAGAAAATATTCCAAAAAAAAGCATATGGCGTGCTTCAACTAAGTTGGAATTAATCCATGCTGACATCTGCGGACCCGTCTCACCAGCTTCAAATGGCCAAAAGAGGTATTTGCTTTGTTTCATTGATGACTTTAGTAGGAAAGCATGGGTCTATTTCCTTGCTTATAAAGCTGATGCATTTGCTGCCTTTAAGCAATTTAAGAGTAGTGTTGAAAAAGAGTCTAGTCTATCTATTAAGTGCTTAAGAACAGATCGGGGAGGAGAATTTACATCAAGTGCTTTCAATGATTATTGTAAAGATAATGGAATCAAGAGACAACTAACCACAGCTTACACGCCGCAACAAAACGGAGTAGCCGAGAGGAAGAACGGAACAGTGATGAACATGGTAAGAAGTATGATGGTTGATATTCCTAAGAGTTTTTGGCCTGAAGCTGCGAGTTGGGCGTTCTACGTGCTTAACAGAAGTCCAACTTCTTCTGTGAAGGACATGACACCAATGGAAGCTTAGAGTGGGATAAAGCCATCTGTAGAACATTTTAGGGTGTTTGGTTGTATAGGACATGTACATGTGCCTGACGCCAAACGCGCTAAACTAGAGAATAAGAGTAGAAGTTGTGTACTGTTTGGGGTTAGTTCAAAATCAAAAGGCTACAGACTATTTGATCCCATAAGCAAGAAAGTCATTGTTAGTCAGGATATTGTGTTTGAAGAAGAGAAAAAGTGGAGCTGGGATAAGAGTTATGACAGCTTGATAAGCCTTGATCTAGACTGGGGAGATGACATAAATGAAGGAGAAATTGAGACTCAAGATGTTACTAATAAAGATTCTGATGTTATTATAGAAACTGTCACTGAAGAAGATAAAGCAAGCATAGATGAAGAGGGAAGTGATAGAGAAAACACTATGGCAGCGGCTGCGTCATCTCCTGAAGCCACAAATACAAGGGAAGGAGATTGTGTCTGAAGGACAGGTCGTATCAGAAGGAGACCAGTGTGGATGACAGACTATAACGTCAATGATGAAGCTGAAACTACTGAAGCAAGTCAAGATCACACCTCACATTTAGCCTTATTCATAGAATGTGATCCTATTAGCTATGAAGAAGTCGCTAAGAGCCAAGAATGGAGAAATGCTATGAATTCAGAAATTCAATCCATTGAGAAGAATGAAACATGGTTTCTCACTAATCTACCGGAGGGAGCCAAAAGTATAGGAGTAAAATGGGTTTATAAGACTAAATTGAATCAATATGGAGAAGTTGAAAAGTACAAAGCTCGGCTAGTTGCAAAAGGATATGCACAAGAACACGGAGTTGATTATGAGGAAGTATATGCACCAGTCGCTCGGATGGATACCGTGAGGATGATTTTAGCATTGGCGGCTCAGAAAAGTTGGATAATCTATCAGCTAGATGTAAAGTCAGCTTTCTTGCAAGGAGAACTCTCCGAAGAAGTGTATGTAGACCAGCCAAGAGGGTATGAAATTAAGGGTGCTGAAAGAAAAGTGTACAAGCTTCGTAAGGCCCTATATGGATTGAAGCAGGCACCACGTGCATGGTTCAGCAGGATAGATACTTACTTTCAGAAGATGGGATTTGTAAAGGATGTCAGCGAGCAAACACTCTTCACAAAATTCAACACACAAGGTAAATGCCTAATTATTAGCTTGTATGTTGATGATTTGATCTACACTGGTAATGATCAAACTATGATGAATGAGTTTAAAGAATCCATGATGAAAGAGTTTGAAATGACTGATTTGGGAAGAATGAAATACTTCCTGGGAATTGAGGTGTTGCAGCTTGATAATGGAATTTTCATGTGTCAAAGAAAGTATGTGAAAGAGTTACTAACAAAATTCAAAATGGAGGAAAGCAACTCTGTCTTAAATCCTATTGTCCCGGGGTTTAAGATTCACAAAGATGAAGAAGGTGTGAAGGTAAATATCACACTCTATAAGCAGCTTGTGGGAAGTATGATGTATGTGACAGCCACTCGGCCAGATGTAATGTATGTTGTTAGTCTGATTAGCAGATACATGTCTATGCCAACTGAACTTCACTTTGCAGCAGCCAAAAGAATTTTAAGGTATTTGCAAGGGACTATTGAATATGGGCTCTTTTACAGGAAAGAAGGAAACAGAGAGCTAGTAGGATTCACCGACAGTGATTACGCTGGATGTGTGGAGGATAGAAAAAGTACATCCGGGTATACCTTCATTCTCAGTGATGCAGCAGTGGCATGGTCCTCCAAGAAACAACCAATTGTTACTCTAAGTACAACCGAAGCAAAATTTGTGGCAGCAGCAGCTTGCTCTTGTCAGTTAATATGGATGAAAAGAGTGTTGGGCAAAATTGGCTATGAAGGAAGCAACAACCCTGTTATTTTCTGTGATAACAACTCAACAATCAAGCTATCAAAAAATTCGGTGATACACGGCAAAAGCAAACACATCGATGTAAGGTTTCACTTCCTACGTGAGCTGGTGAATGAAGGAGCTGTTCAGTTAAAATTTTGTAGCACGCATCAGCAGGTTGCAGATATATTTACTAAGCCACTCGACACAAGAACCTTCCAGGGACTTAGAAAGAAGCTAGGAGTATGTGATGCACCAAAGTTAAACTGAATTGGACTGTTCAGTTTAGGAGGAGATGTTAAGATTAATATTTTGATATTTATTTTTAATTAAATTAAGTATTGCAGCACATTAGAATGTGTCAGCTTATTGTTAGCTATTTTATTGTTTCAGTCAAAGTCAGTACCTAGATTTTAGGAAGGAATAAACTGCTCCACATATAATGGGCACTTAAGGAGATTGTGTGATATTATGTAAGCCTATTTATTGGCCTTTTCTTATTCAATTAAGCAAATTTTCTAGCATTTGATTCTAACAATACCTTCACTTGGGAGCATAAAACAAGTGGCTAAAAGCTGTATGTATACATTACTCAAAATATACAAGTTTTCTAAAAGAAAAAATTCAAAGCTGAAATTGAACATACAGAAAGATAAAACTCTCAAATTTGCAACAGCAGCATAATCCTTGTCCTAGCTATAATCTCAAACTCAATTCCAAAAGAGATTACTACATCTCATAAAAATTTGCTCTATTCCCTCAACAAATCTCTACCTCGCCCCTTGAAACCTCCGGAAGACGGGTTTTATTTGCCTTGGCCTTTTTGTCATCCAGATAATGTTGATAAATATAGGAAAGAAATCCCCATATTGCTAACACCAAAGCTATAAACTTCAACCCATTAACCTTGTCATGGAAGAAAATAACAGCAAGGATAGGAACTAGAGGCAGTACCACAGTACCTATCACATTTGAGAACAATGAAGATACATCTAAAACTAACCCTATCATACCAATGGAAGATACTTGCCAAGCCACAGCAGTCCAAAACAAAGTCATTATATATGACACTTTTCCCTTTTCATATTCCCTCATCTCCTTATGCAAACCTTTCCATTCTCCACTTACAAATAACCCAACAACACAAGCACAAGTCGCTACGAAAGAAGGGTAAATTTGCATGTTCAAGATAGCAGAGAAAGTTTCACTTTTAATAATTCTGTCAAACGAAAGCTGCACGAGGGAAAGATATAAAGAAAATGCAGCAGATGCACCAAGAGTGAATATGAATCCAAGTATTTGCTTATCTCTAGGAAGATTCGTTGAGTCGTCGTCAGAATCAGAATTCAGTGCGAGCAAGGCAGCCGACATAGTTAGCAGAACGACAGAATTGAATATGAAAGCTGTGAATTTTTGGGAATTCAGGAAGAAAGAAAATACTGCATTGAAGGCTAATTGTGTTGCACATAGTAAAGAATAGGTGGAGAGTGAAAGATATAGAAGTCCATAGGAATACATCAAATTGTCCCCTGCTAATAGTAAGCCAAAAAATATGTAAAGAGAAACTAGTGTGGAAAATTTTGGTTTGGTTTTTTCATGGTTGATGTGTGCGAAGTTAAAGTAAAGTGGAAGTAGTATAGGGAATCCAGCTGATTGAACAAATGTTGCCATCCATTTACTATTACCGCCTTTGTCATAGTATAATCTTCCTAAAAGAGTGGCTGCAGATTGGCCTACAAGAAGAAATACTATGTAGAGAGATACACGAAACCACCATTTGTAATCTCTGAATCTTTGATTTTGATGTTGAGGTTGCTCTTTTCTTTCCTCTGAGAAATTCATAACAACAAATTAATTTTATAACTATAATTTTGATTTAATTTAGAACAACAATCAAATTAGAAAAAGAGTAAAGAAGCATAAACAATGAATACATAAAAGAAATTCAGCCAATTTTATCTATGTTCACTGGGGATTATGATCTGCTGCAGTCACTGAAACCCCGCAATCATGTCATCATGAGTTTATGACTGTTCGATTAAGATCATATGGATCCAAATTTTTGAAATTATTAAGTAAAGATGAAATCAATTAAGAAAAGGTAACCTGGAGTAGTAGTTGTAGTTTGTGGGTGCAGATCCTGAACTATCTCCATTAAAAAAAGGTAACAGCTAAGGAAATGATAGGATAGATATTTATATGAAAATGAGTAATTGCAAGTGGAGTTTGCTAGATATCACTGTGCAGCCAAATTTGAAAATTTGATAGTGATGAAGACAATAAGAGGCAAATGAAAGACGGCAAAGTAAAAAGTTTGACTATCCTGTGAGTTTTGAATTTATATGGTAGGTTAGTTCCATATTCACATTGCTGAGTAGAGTACTTTTTACGATAATGCCATTTTTGTTTGAGAGACGTTTGAATATTTCGCTTGATTTGTTGATGACTCGTAAATTCGGCGGAGTCGCTCGCGATGGAACGACTGAACCGAACCGCGAAATTAGCTAAGCAGTAATTGTAAATATTGAACCGTTTGGTTCATACCTTTGAAGTTAACCTGTGCCAAAATAATTAATTGAAGAAGTTTTTTTTTTTTTTTGTCATATTAGCACTACGTATTAATGGGAGTATTATGAATACTCCAACAAAATATAAAAGAAGAAAAGTTACAAGTTTTGCGAACATAATAAAGGATTTTAACACTAATTTAAAAATATACCAGTCCATAACAATTTATAAGTAAAAAATAATATTTCATACTTATTAAAAAAATTTTAAATTTTTTTTAGATTTTTGAAATATGTTTTATAAAAAAAGATGTAAAAATGATTTTGATCCATAGTTATTTATAAAAAAATAAAGATAAATCAAAGTAAAAGTAAGTTATATTTAATTTTACTTTAGAAAAGATGTATTTAAAAATAAAATAAAAACTTATGTTCTTGCTTATAATTTATTACAAGAAAAATGAGTATTTTAATTGCTTATAAACCATTATGGAGGGAGTATAATTTTTTGATTTTTTCTTAATTTATCACGAGGTCTTTTAAATTAATTTAAAGTTTTATTTTAGTCTTTTATCTAATAAATATTATATATTAATTTTTTAAAAATTGTTCTGTTAGTCAAATTGATATTTTCTGTTAAATTTTGTGAAAAAAATATTAAGTTGTGCAAAAATTAAAATAGTGAGTCAAACATTTTGTTAAGATATTAAATTGAAACTTTATGATTGGTGCGAAAAGCCCTTTGAGCAGGATACTATTGGTTAACCATGCAGCATGACGCGAAGGAGCATGTCAAGAAATGTGACAGATGTCAACGCCACGGGGACATGCACTTAGCGCCCCCAACAAATTAAAGACAATGTCTTCCCCGTGGCCTTTCGCCTGGTGGGGGATGGACATACTCGACCCCTTTATCGTGGGATCCTATCAGAATAAATTTTGATCTTGGTCGTCGACTACTTCACAAAGTGGACCGAAGCTGAACCCTCACCAAAATCACGACATTTAACATACTTCGTTTTTACAAAAGAAACGTCCTCGTGTGATTCAGTGTACCACAGGCCCTCGTAACCGACAACGGGACCCAGTTCACGGACAGGAAATTTCAAGATTTCATTGTCAAACTAGGCATCAAGCAACACTTCACGTTCGTCGAACACCCCAAGACCAACGGACAAGCAGAGGCCACGAACAGGGTGATTCTCCGCAGACTAAAATGAAGGTTAGGAGAAGGCAAAAAGAGATGGGTCGAGGAGCTACATAGTGTGCTCTGGGCATACAGAACAACTCCACACTCTACCATAGGAGAAATTCCCTTTTGATTAGCATACGGAACCGAAGCAGTAATTTCAGTGTAAATCAAAGAACCCTCTAGATGGACAGAGGCCCCTCTCGACGAGGAAATGAAGGACGAAGCATTAAGAGAAGAACTCGACCTGGTCGAAGAGATCCGAACAGGGGAAGCTCTCCGCGAAGCTTCGCTGAAGCAAAAAATAACGATGCGCCACGACTCCAAGGTCATAAAGCGCAACTTCCAAATGGGCAGTCTTGTCCTACGAAGAAATCAAAAAGATTCGCGTGAGGGAAAACTGGCCGCAAATTGGGAAGGCCCTTACCGGGTGAGGTCGAAAACAGGTATCGGGAACTACTACCTCGAACACCTAAACGAAGAACCATTTGCTCGACCCTGAAATGCTGAAAAGCTCAAACAATAATACAGTTAGTGCTAATTCAATTAGGAATAATTGCCAACGACTCCACCTCACAACGAAGAGGGATCGTTCGGCCAAGGAAGCGTGCCCTGGTGGAAGCATAATCCTCAAACATAACGAAGGCAAGTTTTTGCTCATGGAACGAACAAATTATGTGCCCAACGAGGATAACTTAATCGAGCTCCGCCATTATCGTACTAGCGTGGCATGACACACAGCTCGCGATAGGAAAGTCCAAGCCTTGTGCGATCAGGACCTCAACCGAGATCCTAGTCCCATGGCCGGTGAAGTTACTTCGCTACCTCGACAAGTTCCCTAAACTGTCGAGCAACGTAACAAGTCGAGAAAACTCTCATTCAGTAAACACAACTTGCAAGAAAAACTAACATATAATAAGGCATACAATATCAAACAAACATATACATATATAGGCCCGACCACCAGGCCGGAAATTGTTTAGATATTACAAAAATTACAGGCCAAGTCCGACAGTCAGAATTTACAAAAAATGGCACGCAGGCCAAAATACACTAAGTTACAAAGAACAATCAAACATCATCAGTAGGAATTTCTTGAGGGACCACTTGCCCGTCGACCACCTGGTGCAGAACGCCCATCCCTTTAGTAACCAGCTGGATATCGGGGTTCAAGGCTTTCATCTGCTCCACCACAACATTAAACCCGAACTCGGTAGCTTCGAGTGTGTCTTGCTCGAGGATGCGGATCTTGTCGATCATCTTTCATCAGGTCTTCAGGGATTTCTCCTCCTCAGTTTCATCTGGCCCCGCCGCCGACGAGTCTTCCAGCTCCGTTACCCTAGCCTTCAAGTTGGATTTCTATTCCTTAGTTTTCCTCATCTCATCAGCCATCTCGTTCATATCTTTGAGGAGTGCGACCTTGGCCTCATAGTTTCCTTGGAGAGTCAACAGTTGGTTGTGTAACAGCCCGATTTTTTCATTAATTATTTATTTGTATTAATTAAGTGGGTTAATGAGAATTATTTAATTGATGGATAATTAATTAAATGAATTAAAAGATGTTGGAGAGAATTAGAAGAGAAAGACATATTAAAAAGGAGAGTGAAAAGAAAAGGAAAGATAGAAACAAAAAGGAAAGAATAGAGAAAGAAGGAGAAAGAGGAGAAAAGAGAAGAAGAAGAAGAAGAGGGAAGAACTTGGAATCATCAAGAACAACTCTCAAGCTTTGGATTGATCAAGGTAAGGGTGTGAAATATCATTATCTTAACAATGTATATGAATATGTATGCTTCGGTTAGAGTATTGGATGTTTTTCTACAACTTCCATTTTAGGGCATAAATGGATTAATCAGTAGAATCTGAGTTTTCACGGTGGAAAATGAGAATAAGTGGTAGTATTTAGTCGGGAGGATGTTAGACTAAGGTTATGGAACTTGTTCGGTGAGAATCGGTTGGTTTTGGAGAGTTTGGTGGGAGTTGGACAGTAAGAAATTTGGTGTTCGTAGACATTCGCTAGCGTGTTCGCTGAGCGAGCTGGTAGCGAACATTCGCTAAGCGAGCTAGTAGCGAGCCAGTAGCGAACAGTCCCAGACTTGAACAGAATGCATGTTATGGTGTTCGCTGGTAGCGAAGGAGGTAGTGAAGGTTCGTTAGGCCTTCGTGTAACAACCCAATTTTCAATGATTAATTATTTGTGTTAAATAATTGATTTATTTGGATTATTCTAATTATTTGAATAATTAGATGATTATTTAAATGGATTGATAGATGTTTTGAGAGAGGAAATTCAATGGAAAGAAATAAAGGGAAAGATATATATATATATATGAGAAAGTGGAAGGAAAAAGGAAAGAAAGAAAGAAAGAGAAAGAAAGAGGAAGAAGAGAAAAGAGGAGAAAAAGAGGAAAACTTGGAGAATCATCAAGAACATCCTCTGCCTTCGATTAATCTAAGGTAAGGGTGTGAAATCTTACTATCTTAATCATTGTGTATGATTGTGTATGTGTGTGGATGAGTTTGGTTGTTTTCCAACCTTGTTTCCATTTAGGTCGAAATGATAGAAATCGATAGAAGCCGATGTTTGGACGGTTAGAATCGAGAATAACTTTCGTAGCTTAGTCGGGATATGTTAGACTAAGATTATTGGAACTAGTTTGGCGAAAATCAGGTGATATTGTGAGTTTCACCATTTTCGATTAAATTGAGGTTAAAATTTTGAGTGGAAATCGAATGTCGTGAAAGTTGAATTTTATGACCCTAAAATATCCGTGTATGATTAGTAAGGATAGATAGGTATTTAATCGGGTGAAAACTATTTAATCGGGCGACTTTTTGGGGCTTTTAAGCCCGAACCCGTAGTTGTTTTTCTGAGTTTTTCAGGTGTTAATCGGTTAACCATATACGTTAACCGATTAACACAATGTTGGGGGCCTAAAAACTGAGTTTTTGGAGGTGTTAACCGGTTAACCATATACGTTAACCGATTAACACTGTAAGTGTGAGAAAATATTATTTTTTAAAACTTCAAAAATTCATAACTTTTTCACCGTTTATCGGATTTTGACGTTCTTTATATCAAACTGAAGCTAATAATATGTTCTACAACTTGGTGAAAAGAAATATTATTTTTAGCCAACTTTTATCTGATTTTACCGATTAGTCAGGATTAATGATTTTGAGTGAGAAGAGCTTATAGTAGCTAGAGCGTCCGGTTGCGATCGGTCTCGTCTCGTAAGGATAATTTGTGTGTTATTAATTGTTGTGTTGTGGGTAGCCGTAAGGCGTGAATCCTAGTGTATGAATATGATTTTGAATCGTGGCCTTTGGGAAAATTATGCATTGTTTAGAATTGAATAAAAATGCATGGCAATTGTGATGAATGATTAATATAATACACATTGTGAGTGCATGATGATTGTACGTGTTGATGTGTGAAGAATGCATGATAATATATTTGCG